AATTTTTAAATGAATAAATTGATTATAGTTTCTCATTTCTGAGATAATATACAATGACCACAAAAAGACTATATTCAAAATTATCAAGAACACTTAAGGCTTTGTGATTTTGCCCTTCCTGTAAGATAACAGGAGTCCTGGTGTGGTGCTGTAGGATTAGCATTGGACTGTTAATCACAAGTTGGTGGTTCAAAGCCACCAATTGCTTCTTGAAAACCTGTACATGGTTATGATGAGTTGGAACAGATTCAACAGCACTTAATAAGATGACAAGTTAGGCTGTAACAGTTTCACGGATGCTGGTAGAAGATATGGTTCTCCTGTATTCGAAACAAAGGACTTTATTACTCACTAAAATGGCAGTAGCAAGAGTATTGGCATTTCTTGTGCCAGTTCCCAAAACCCCAGTTCCTACTGGGGACACTTATGCATTCAGTACATGGCATTACAGTCAAGGAACTATAGGTTTAGAGAATGTCAATATTTTATACTAGGTATGAGTTGGAACCGACTCCGTGGCACACAGCCACCACCACCACCATAATAAGCATACTGGTTCTTAGCTCTGGAAGGGGATTTTAAGTTTACCCTATTAAACAGTATGGAAAGTTGTTTTTTAAGAATCTATTTTTACTTCCCACGATTGCAGACCACCCTAAGCTTCAGGGAGAAACACTGTCTGTCTTCCAAGGTTGTTTATTATACAGCATCTTAACGAATACTCTGGAATAAAGGCAATCAACACTGTGTTCATAAAACTTGCAGAAAGGTAGGAGACTCATGAAAAATTATCTCCCAACAATTACATAGAGATATAATGACATTTAATGAAAACTTATGAATTTTGTGGGCTTCAAAGTTAAGAGGCAATTCTAATCATCCACTTGACAAATTTTTATCATGCCTTAGATTTCCAGAAATAAAACAGATGAAAGTTGGTTTGACCTTTGAAAAACTAAAATTAAGAAAAAGATGTGTGCTATGCTTCAACTTCAATTGTATGTACAGTTTTAAATTCTCACTTGAAAATTAATGTTGTATTTTTGCAATTTGAGCCATGATAAATCTGATGAATATAATATATCATAGCATTAAAAGTACAAAAATGCATTTTTTAAATCCCTCAGGAATTACAAATAAGCTCCAGAGTTCAGGTGTATGATCTTACTTTGAAATGTTTCCAAGAATAGGGATAGTCTGAGAACTTTTTTTCCTTCTCAGATAGCTGAAATTTTGATTTTCAATTATGTTCAAAATATTTCTAACAGTCATACGGTTGCCATTTGGTTTTATTGAAACTTAGTGTAAAGAGAGATGGTTTAGGAGGATAAACAAAGAAGATTTCAGAGAGTTATTGATTTGAAACAGACTGTTTTACCAACTTGGCATGTATTCAGTTTTTATTTGCAAAAAAAAAAAAAAAAGGGTCAAGGCAGTTAAGCCATCAGTAAAAATGTTATTGTGAATAACAAAGTGGTTTTTAAGCACTAGAAAAATACCAGAAAGTGAGAGAGACAGTTGATGGTAGCAGTCAGAAGAGAGATACCTGGCTTGTATTGTCTCCTTATTCAGGATCTCTGTCCAATAGTGCATACATACTATGGTGGTCACGGTGGTGGTGGATATGTGTCATAGCAACCCTGTACAGGGTTTCCGAGGCTGTAAATCTTTACCAGAGCAGAAAGCCTCATCTTTTTCCCTCGGAACAGTTTTGTAGCTTCGAACTGCTGACCTTGCGGGTCACAGCCCGATTTATAACCACTACGCTACCAGAGCTCCTTTGTACGTACTATAGAAATGTTCAAATATTAACCCAGAGATGAGAGTAATGGAAAAGTTCATGCCCATTTAAGTCCTCTAAGGATAACAACTTCATAGAAATTTAAAGGATTAGAACCTATAACACCAGGAAAACAAGGCGTATTAATAGAGTGACATGGTTTATAGCCTTTAGGTTCACTTCTAAGAGAGAGAGGAAAAAATATTTAGATGAATGTTGTTGTCAGAAGTGTTATTACCAGCAAGGAACAAAAAAAGAAGGGGGTGGTGGGAGGAAGAACAGGGAGCACATGAATGTGCCGCAGGTTTCAGATTACACAAAGTCCATGTTTAGCTACTCATATTCCAGTTGCTGATTTAAAATATGTGTTTTATGCAACACTGAGTGAAGAGCAATGATGGGCTATGTCTTCCTGTGTGCAAAGTTGAGGGGAGGCTCTCACTTTTCTTCATGATGCTACATTCAGAGACACAGGAATTATGTAGGTTTCATAGAGTGACATATACTGATTTTCCTGGTGACTGCCGATGTTAGCCATAGGAATAAAACTCTCCTCTCAGCTCCACTTAAGAATCGCTCCCTCTGAAGCTTATAAAATTGACCAGTGTTCTTATTGCCTCATTTTTCCTTGTGTATCCTTGCATTTAAATCCTAAACTGAAAAGACAGTAATTGAGCAGAATGGTTTGTTTAAAATAGCTTTATTCCCATGGGACTTTTTGAAGAAACACAGACTAAAACCAGGAGAGAGGGGTAAACCCAACCTTTTGAAATCATCAGAACACTTAAGGAGGTCATTACTTCACTTTTCTATAAATGTTCAGGTCAGCTTCTATTTTGGTTATAATTCTACCTTGGAGTTAATAGTTGCAAAAACCACTCAAGCCTCATTCTTTTGGTTTTCAGCATTATTTTGTTGTTGTTGTTAAGTGCTGTTTAAAAGGAATTATTGTTCATAAGTCATAGATGACTATTATTTACTCAAGGTACAGTACAGAATTTCTATCAAATTGTCCATATATCTCTTATATAAACACATTAATGAATCAGTGGGAAGGTGGATAAGGACAACATAGAATTCTTAATCTCTCTAGATGGCCAAATCCATTGTACTATATTTTCTTCCAAAAGTTTCAACATATGTATCAGTTTGTAATAGAATAAAATGTGACAGTAAGCACACTTCGGGTCCAATTTCATTAAATAGTAAACTGTTTTCTGTTCTATGAAATTTTATTACAGCTTATAGTAACTATTTAGTATGTCATTTCTAAGGATAGACATTTAATATTTATGATATATAGATAAATGAATATATGGTGAATATCTGCTTTGTGACTCTTTATGTACTTTCCTTCATTTGTGGCAAATATTCATAATATATTGATGTCTCTTTTCCTATGAATCCAGATTTGACCTCTAAAGTCCTTCTAGACACATCTGTCATTTGAGGCAGCTGCTATAAATCAATCAAGTCCATTGAAAATACCATCTATGTGCTATCCCTAATTTAAATCATCTTAATTCATTTTAATATATTTTCAGTATATTTTTCTTCAAAGGTGAAGAAAATCCACTAAATACTATTGCTAACCCTCTTTTGCCTAACTTTAACCATAAAATATTTGGAGATAAGAATTTGAAAATGAATTCCCCTATGAAAGAGCTCAAAAATAAAATCTACCAATGGACTCAGTCAGTATTTCCCAAAACTAAACCCATATTTCAGTTAAGGATTACAATATTTTAAGAACATTCAGTTAAATACAAATTCCTAGAATAAGTTTAAAAGCTGAAAATTACAACATCCTTTAGCATAGTAAATTACTGTCATATTATATTGACATCAGTATTTATCATTATTTGATTTAAAACAACCCTGTACATACATTTTGAGGTTTTCAATCTTCATGGGAGCTTAAAGGTTCATCTTTCTCCAATGGAGAGACTAGTGGGCTCGAACCATAATCAGCATATAAACTGCACACTTTTAAATCAGAATACTGAAGAAATAAAACTGTGCTAAAGAAAAACTACTCTAAGGAAATAATATAAATGCAAAGAGAGATGTGTCTCAAATGTATTGCCCTGTATTTATTCAGGAAACTGAAGGAGAGAGTATATGCTACACAATAAATCCTATTCTCACTAGAGAAATGAATTATACACATTTATTTCAGGTAAGAAAAGCACCAAATTCAAACTTTTTTTTTCCTTGAAATCTGCAAAGGTTACATGAGAACCAGTTGGGGGGAATACTATTATACATGGTCAATTATGAAAAAGTAAAGTTTAAATGCTTAATATAATGAAAAAATTAATTAGGTCTTAAAATATAAAGACGGATATACAAATATAGGGTGATTTATATTTTTAAGAACATAGGATATGTTTTAACCAAATGTCAATAATTAAAATTCAGAGTAGATTTGTTTTTTAAACTTTTTTTTTTTTTTTTGACATCACAAATTAAAGACACCACAAATAACTAAAACCGTATTTTAAAAATTCTTGTGACATTTTAATTTAGTCTTTTATATGATTATAATTACATTTCATGAATTGTACTGACACTCAAGCTACTTGTTGACTTACAGACAAAGCTTACTTCAGGAAAAACGGCTTCTACCTTTTACAACAGCAAAAAACATTGTAGTGATTGCTTACAAAGAATGTTCATCTTTGATTTTGCGGTTCTCATGATAATGTCTAATACATGGTAAAGTCTCACCTCATTTTTTGTAAATAAATTCATGATGGTTGGAAGGAAGGGAAGGAGGAAAGAGAAGGGAATATAGTGGGATGGGGAGGGGATGTCAAAGGCAAAGTAAAAGAAACAAAGGAAAGAAGGAAGGAGGAATGTTTTAATTAACAAGTGGAAAATTTTAATATTTTTATTTCAATATAAATATATCACATAAAAATTCATCTGTACAAAAAGGTGACTTATAACATGTAAGTATATATGCTGTAAGTTTTTGTTTTGTTAATTATCTTTTACATACATACATTATTAAAAATGAAAGCATTTTTTCTTTACTTAGGATTATTATTATTGTTATATTTTCTTCATATAAAAATCAATATTTTCCAAAATAGAAACTTATTTTTTTACTGAAGAGTGAGCAAGTCCACAAATAAAATATGGTGCTTAAAAGAACACTGAACAATAATAAATCACAGAATAGTACATTACCGATTCAATTACTGAAATAACTTACCAGGATATCTTTTCCAGCCCACTTGCATTCATCTCTTCTTGTGTAAGAAACTGGCCACACAATCTAAGGGTAGAGAAGAAATACTATTTTACATCAGTTTTCTAACAGATCCAACATCATGTCATCATTTAGACTAAAATGTGGAGAGTGAGATAAAGAAATTTCCATAAAGCATTAGGTGGCAGGGACCTTGCAGTTTAAACTTGGCAGTGACATCAGATCATTGGTGTGGATTTAAGTCAAATCACATTCCTCCTATCCATTAGACTTTGTTATACATAAGTGATGAACAAGACAGAAATAGACCAGATAAATAGATTTCGACAGAGTAAGTAGGGTGGAAAGAATTGTAATCTGGGTTGAAAGAGGGAGGTCATTTGAAGGATATTTGACAATTTAAGGAGGTTGAAATCTGCAGAGAACACAGCCTGTATTCTTGTAAATAAGTTAATCTTTCTCTTTCATGAAATAGTGATTTTGAAATTCTCAGATTTAGAGTGCCCTGGATCTGTCTCTCCAACTTAGACATAATAATAACATGTTAAAATGAGCAGTGGCAAAGAGAAAAACTTCACGACATAAAGGTATCATTTTTGGTGACAATGAAAAACATAGAAACAAATTAGCTGTAAAAAACAAACACCTTGAAACTAAGTGTATAATTTGTTGAATGTCAAAACAGTGGTCTACTCTGTAAGCCTTTACTCAATTCACAATAAAAAGTTTTTGTTTAAAAAACACACCCTTCTCTATTCCATTGAAAAAAAGTTAAACTAATTGAGAAATAATTGACGGTATTTTTTAGCCCTTAGATTTGATCTTTATCCTTCCAAACCCAAAACTAAACCAGTTGCCATGCAGACAACTCCAACTAATGATGGCCCCACATTATTCGCAGCAGAACTACACTTCACTGGTTTTTCCATGACTGTGATATTTCAGAAGTAGAATTTGAGTCTTTGCTTCTGTTCATTCTTCCAAAGGGTCCTATGTTGTGTGAATACAGTGACAGGAAAATAAGTAGAATGAGCCGATGCATTGCTGGTAGCATGGAGGACAGTGTGAATGCAGTCTGGCTAATAACACAAGTTTTCTCATCTAAGTTTTAACACAAAAATTTTCAGGTCCCCTGAGCAATTCCAATCATAACTATCTGCACTCATTATTTTCCTAATGCATCTTTCTGTTTTACTAACATTAGTTAACTCCCCTGAAAAATGTCATATGTAAAAGAGAAGTTTATAGAGATAGCAGCTACTCCTTTGTGCCTGCTGAAAAACTCTTAATCTCAAAATGACTGACTATTATTCATCTGGAAAGCTTTAGACAATTCAATATATTCTATCATAAACTTGGTTAAAACATGTGATATTCAATTTAAGGGATTGAAAAGCAAATACAACAGATTTATTTGCAAGAATTTGGAATAATTGAAATGACCTTTTATTAGCATGATAAATGCATTTTAGACTCATGTCACCACGTCACTTTTATAAAAACATAAAATATATTCATTTTTATCATTAAATTTTCCTTCTGTGCATTTTTCCCTCTTTGTGGGTTTTTAGTTTCATGTATGTCTGTTTGTTTAAATTAAAACAATCATTGACTTGTTCCAAACAGTATAGTTTATGATGAACTGATCCAGAATACATATAAATATGGTAGACTACTCATGGCTAAAATGACCGCATTTGCTTGAGCTTGACACTCAAAACTGATCTTCAGCCAACTTTTTGTTTAAGTGGTCAAATGAAAGTAAATATTTTAGGCACTGTGAGTCAGATGATCTCTGTCACAACTACTCTACTTTGTCAGTGTAGTATGAAAGCTGACATACAAAATACTGTATATAAATAAGCTCAATTGTGTTCAGATAAAACTTTTTAAAAGACACACATGCCAGGGTAGATTTTCCCTGCAAGTCTTAGCTACATGACCTTTCTCTTTGCTGGCAATATAGAGACATGCATACATTTATTCACATAAATATATATATATATATATATATAACATGAAATAACTATAGAAGGATAAGCTGAAGTTAGAAGGTGGTGTTTTTTTTTAAATGGGGGAGAAACAACTGTAACCAAGGATGAGAAGAGTTGCACAAATAAATCAATATCATTGAATTGCTTATGTAGACATTGCTGAATTGGTATATTCTACTGTGCACATTCACAACAACATCAAAAATTAAGTAATTTTATAAAAAATACCATGGTTTCTTCCGTAATGATATTTATGGTTTACCGCTTCTAATAACACTAATATAGTCATCATTTTTTTTGTGTGTGTATCTGAAAAGATAAAATGTTAACTTAAAACCATTTTCTGTGAATTCTATATAACTTGATGTTTCCAAAACACTACAGTACAAGTATTAGAATAAGGATACCTTCTGAAAATCCTTGATATTAACCAGGCTGAATGAAAATATGTGGTCCTTTGCTCCAACATACAGTCTACTCCGTTCCTCATCCAAAAGGAAGGTATGATAACTGGAGCTGTTGGCCAAGCCATTGAAAGTAATCACATTGTTGGATTCCAACATTTCTGCAAGGTAACAAAGCAAGACATAGGATGTTAATTTGAGGTCTTACATAGGCTTGAAGTTCTGGTATGGCACTTTAGGAGAAACATCAGACAGCTAACCATAAGGTCGGCAGTTCAAACCCACCAGTTATTCCTCAAAAACCCTATACAGGGTCTCTGTGAATCAGAATTGGCTGAATGGCACATACTACCAGCAACAACATCAGCAAAGACTGTTGGTATATGGTAGGTCATCTGACTACTGTATACTGTAATTATGAATCAATGGTTATGCTCCATGATACTAAAAAACAAGCTGTTATTGTTAAGTACCGTAAGAACTATATATTTTCTATTCCACTGATATGGAAATTATACTCATCAGTTTGCTGCTTTCATATCCTGGTTGCAGATTACTGAAGAAGAAAAGAATACATATATTTTGTGTATACAAAGTAATTTGATGAAGTCCTGGTGTGGCACTGTAGGTTAATGCACCAGATGCAAAGCCATTTGAACTGCAAGGTCGGCAGTTCAAGCTCACCTGCTGCTCCTTGGAAATGCTATACAGGGTTGTTACGGGTCGGAACTGACTTGACAGCACTTAACAACAACACAACAACATTTATATGTAGTGATAGAATGTCCTATGAAGTTTATAAAGTGTTTTGAATTTTGCGAAGAAGTTTCAAGTCATTATCTAAAAAATTAAGCCTAGTAGCATTCAGAGCAAAGAGAATATAGAGGAAACATTCCGTTTAATCGCTGAGGTCCCTTGAGGTCTCATTTTATTGAGTAATTTTAATGTGTTTATTATTGTTAGTTTACCCCACCATTTAAAGTATTTGAAGCATATTGGAACCAGCATATACACAAAAACTAAAGTGAGACTTTTATGAAAATATAGATATATTTTTAATTGCCATCTAACCTCATTTTTTTCAGTTTATTTTCATTCCCCAACTTATTTTTGTAAAATACAGGCAGATACACAACTTTTTAATTTATATTTTAAATTAGAGAAATATTTTCAGATTAAAAATAACATTAATCTTATTAATGCAAATCACTATTTAATTCAAAGGTAACTGTTGATAATCACCAATAATCACCTGGTGCCCAGTGGATGGACTCTATGCTCCCTGCTGCTAGCCCCTCCTCAGCCCCAGCCATCTGCTGCCACCCCACAGGCTAGAGAGGACGCCAAGGAAACAAGTGAAGTGTGGCTTGTCTTGGAGGGCTTAGAGTCCAAAGACTAAGAACTTGGGAAAGGAGGTCAGCAGTCCTGGCCACAGAGGAGAAGGCACCGGCTTCTGCCACAGCTCCCAGGCTCTGAATGATTCTCAGTACTCGTCTTACTGCAGGACTTCAGACTTCACCCATCTGAAGAATTTGAGTAGAGGGGAGCAGCAACAGTAGCCTTCCCAGTCCTGTCCCCTCCTGGGCCCCTCTGACTACTTGTGGACTCTTCTCAGAAGTTATTGTTGTTAAGTGCTGTCAAATTCGTTCCTCTCCTAGCAAACCTGAATAGGGATTCTGAGGAGTGGCTGGTGAGTTGGAATTGCCGACCTTGCTATTCAAACTAATCTTCGGATGGAGTGGTTATCCTACTATACCACACCAGTACAGGCTCCCTGAAAATATGATTCATTAGCCTTTTTCAAAAGAAATACTGCAAGGGTGGCTCCCTCATTGGAGATGGGACCTACAAGAGACCTTCTGGACAGCTGGATACTTTATCTGCAAGTCTGACAAACATGGGTGGCTGTCCAGGCCTTAAAGTAGACAAGGGAGGAAACCCAGGTTAATGCACAAAATATTCCAATAGAGGATTATTTACTATTATTGTAAATGCAAAATTTTGGGTAACAAAAGAGTCAATAAGTGAGGAAAAAGTGTATGTGAATACACTAAGAGGTTTCAAAAAGTTCAGGGAAATTTTACATTATGTTTTTAACTCCATTTATCCCTGAATTATTTAAAGCCCCCTTGTATATATTTGTCGTTGTTTTTCAGTACTGATGAGTTGGTCTGACTCATAGCAACCCTATATAGGGTTTCCAGGGAGCAGCTGGTGGGTTTGAACTGCAGGATGGTAGTTCAAATCAACCTTGCTGTCTGCTGTTTATCCTACAGCACCATGAGGACTTCAGCTTATATATACAGTAGTTTTCAAAAAGTTATCTAAGATTCTGATGATTCAATAGTGAATAAGGGTTATCCTGACTAATTGAGAGTGTCACAACTAAAAAGGTAGAAGTTTTGTAACAAACATGGGAAGTAGTTAATCTTACAGTCCAGGAACAGAGGACCCTGGGACCATCAAGGGAGAAGAGCATGAGTGGAATGTGAGACTCTATCTAGAAAAGCTGTGACACCAGAGATGGAGGCAGAGATGAGAACATGGAGAGAGGGAGCAGCTGAGGATTCTAGATTCATGGAAAGAGAGGGACTGAGAGCTGGCAGCCAGGAGGCAGCCTTGCAGAATGTACCCTTTAGTGGTTTAAATTATTATATATGCCTGAGTGTTGTTGTGTACATCCTGGCACCCACAAAAACAACAACAACAAAAACAAACGGAATATAAGCAAATACGATTGAATGATGATACACAGAGGAGATTGCAATTACTGCAAAGAAATGACTGAGTGTAAACTGATATTCTTCCATGTAAACGATTACTCAATTCACAGTAAAAACTTAAAAAAAAAAAAAAAGGGAAAAAAAGTTAATTATGTTTTTAAATTATTATTGTTATTATTAAATTTGAGTGGAGGAAGGGATTAGTAAGAAGTTACGCTTAAGACTATGCATGCTGTTGTTGTTGTTCAGTGCTGTGGAGTCGGACATAGCGACCCTGCACAGGGTTTCTGAGGCTGTAAATCTTTAGGGGAGCAGAACGCCTCATCTTTCTCCCACGGAACCGCTGGTAGTTTCGAACTGCTGACCTTGAGGTTCACAGCCCGATTCGTAACCACTACACTACCAGAGCTAGTCCTAGGACTTTTTAGTGTTATGGTTACTGTTACGGTGGGATTTAGGGGTAGAGATTAGGTTAAGACTAGGAGAAAGTCTTGGTCTAGTTTTAGGGTTATAGTTACATTTATTTTATTTTTTCTTGAAATCTATTTGATTTTCTCTTCATTAGAAGTTCTGTGATTACATTAATCCAACACATTGTTTTTTGTTGTTGTTATAAACTGGTATCTGAAGTTCTCTATTTTCAGTATTGTAAATTTGTTTTACTTCGAATACTTTTATATCTGAGTTGAGTTCTGGGTGATATTGTTATGTAGACTAATCTCAGGTTGTTGTCTGCTGTTATTGGCTCTTTGTTCAACGAACTCCCTTTAATATTTTTTGTAACTACAGTGAGATTTTTAGAAATTCTTTTAATTTCTGTTTATCTTGAAATGTCCTAAATCAAATAACATATAGCCTTGGGCAAATCTGTTGAAAAATATTTCTTTTAGTGTTCAAAAGTAAAGAGGTCACATTGAGGACTAAAATGTGTCTGACCAAGCCAAGGTATTTTCAATAGCTTCATATGCACTGTGAAAGACGAATAATGAATAAAGATGACTAAAGAATTGATGCTTGTGAATTGTGATGTTGTTGAAGAATACAGAAAGTATCAGGTACTGAAAGAAGAATCCTCAAATATGTCTTGGAAGAAGTAAAACCAAGTGCTCCTTAGAGTCAAGCAAGGTTAGTGAAATTTCCTTTCATATACTTTGACATGTTATTAGTAGTGACCAGTCCCTGGAAAAGAACATTATGATTGGTAAAGTAGAGGATCAGTGAAAATGGAGAAGACGTCTTGAACCAACACAATGGCAACAACAAGGTTTCAAACAACAATCATGTGCATGGCACAGGACATATGTGTGTGTTTCCTTGACATAAAAATAATGCAGACTCTCTAAAACCATGCATCCTGAATCTCTGCTTCAAATATTACAATGCACACTTAATACCTATTGATGTCTAGTAGATTCTAACTCATAGAAACCCTGTAGGACAGATTAAAACTTCCCCAGAGAGTTTCCAAGGCTGTCGGTTTTGCAGCGGCACACTGCCACATCTTTTTCCCATGGAGTAGTTGGTAAGTTCAAACTGTAGATCTTTTGGTTAGCAGTCAAGTGCCACTGCACCTCCAGGACTCCTACACATTTAATGTTGTTATTGTATGTTGTCGAGTCAGCTCCCACTTATAGATACCCTGTATAGGGTTTTCAAGAGTGGCTGGTGTGTTTAAACTGTCGACCTTGCAGTTACTAGTCCCGTGTTTATCCTACAGCACCACAGAAGGGCTCACTTAATAGGACCCATTTTATCAGCATTCTTAGAAGATGTAATATGCCTTCTGAAGAGAGGATGTTGTAAAGTAGGTCTGACCTCTATCCAGCCTTCACTCCTAGAAAACATATGAGAAGACTTCAAAAACTTGATGACAAAATGGATCTAATCATAATGGAATTTTTCCACATACTTTTTGAAGCCCCTTAGTATTTGTAATATGATAAATTGTTCTGCTTCATTTTTTTCTCCTACTACCTTCACTATTTAATTATTTTAAAAATCTGATTTACATAGAGGGTAGAGTTCAAATTCCACAAGTAGTATTCAAGGTCAAGTCACCACCATTCAACTATGGACCCCAGCATTCCTCTTCATTCCTCCTGTCATGATGGAAAACATGCACTATTTCTTGGCCTTTGCTTCAAGTATTTCTGATACTCACAACTACATGACCCATGAACAAGACAGTATCCATTTTTGTAAGCTGATTCAAATGCAACCTCCAAGAAACTCTCATAGAACTAATTACAATATTTTCTGCATTTCGTCTTAGATTCAGCTTCACAGTCTCTTATTTATTACAGGTAGTCATATATATTGAATTGTCTACCAGAATTCATATAACTTAATGTCAGGAAAAAATTAATGAACAATTCCACTATTTACAAGTCCTATGGTTTCTTTTCAATAAACAAATCACCTATCATTTCTTATATTCT